TCAAGGGACGTTTGGGGACACTGAAGGGTCAGGGGACACTGGGACACACTTGGGGACATTGAGGGGTCAGAGGACTCTGGGACAGGGGGGGGACACTGGGGGACACTTGGGGACATTGGGGGACACTGGGACAGGGGACATTGGGGGACACTGTGGGGTCAGGGGACACTTGGGGACATTGGGGGACAATGGGACAGGGGACACTGGGACAGGGGACATTGGGGGGTCAAGGGACATTTGGGGACACTTGGGGACATCGGGGGACACTGGGACAGAGGGCACTGGGGGGGTCAAGGGACATTTGGGGACACTGAGGAGTCAAGGGACACTGGGACAGGGGACATTTGGGGACACTTGGGGACATTGGGGGCACTGGGACAGAGGGCACTGGGGGGGTCAGGGGACATTTGGGGATATTGGGGTCCCTGTGGATGTGCTGAGGGGGGTATTGAGAGTAATTAACTCCTGTGGGGTTAATTGGGTGTTAATTGGGGTCTGTAGTTAATGGGGTGTTCATTGGGTGCTAATTGGGGTCTGTGTGTGTTAATTGGGGTGTTAATTGGGGTTGTTGGGTGTCCATGGGCGGTTAATTAGTGTCAATTGGTGTTAATTGGTGTTAACGATGTTCATTAATTGTCCCTGCAGGCCGGCTTGGACAGGATGTCCCAGGGGCACATGCTGGCTGACGTGGTGGCCATCATCGGTACAGGCCCTCACTTTGGGGTCCCCTTTCCCCTTTTGGGGTCCCCTTTCCCCTTTTGGGGTCCCCTTTTGGGGTCTCTCCCCCCATTTTTGGGTTCCTTTTTCCCATTTTGGGGTCCCCGTTCTCAATTTTGGGGTCCCTTTCCCATTTCGGGGTGCCCCTTCCCATTTTGAAATCCCCTTTTCCCATTTTGGGGTCCCCTTTTCCCCTTTTGGAATCCCCTTTCCCCAATTTTGGGGTGCCCCCTCCCCTTTTGGGGTCCCTTCCCCCATATTTGGGATTTTTTTTTTCCCATTTTTGGGCTCCTTTCCCTACTTTTGGGGTCCCTTCCTCCCTTTTTGGGGTCCCTTCCCCTTCTCAACCCCCAGCTCCCACTTTGGGGGGGTCTCTCCCCACTTTGGGGTGCCCTGACCCCCCGATTTCCCCACAGGTACCCAGGACATCGTTTTTGGGGAGGTGGATCGATGAGGGGGGGGCCCATCCCCCCCCCGTGTGCTGCTCTGCTTTGGGGGTCCCCGCGCCCCCCACTCCCAGTTTGGGGGTCCCCCCCGTGCCCCACTCCCAGTTTGGGGGTCCCCCCGTGCCCCATTTCAGGTCAAATAAAGCCAAAATCGGGTCCTGAGCCTCCCTTGGTGTCCCCTCCTTTCCCAGTTTGGGATGTTCCTATTCCCAGTTTGGGGGGATTCCATTCCCAGTTTGGGAGGTTTCATTTTCCCAGTTTGGGGATTCCATTCCCAGTTTGGGGGAGAGTTCCATTCCCAGTTTGGGAGGTTTCATTTTCCCAGTTTGGGGGGGTTCCATTCCCAGTTTGGGGATGTTCCATTCCCAGTTTGGGGGGGTCCATTCCCAGTCTGGGGGGGTTTCATTCCCAGTTTGGGAGGTTTCATTTTCCCAGTTTGGGGGGGTTTCCTTCCCAGTTTGGGGGAGGTTCCATTCCCAGTTTGGAGGGGGGTTCCATTCCCAGTTTGGGATGTTCCATTCCCAGTTTGGAGGGGGGTTCCATTCCCAGTTTGGGTTTCCTTTCCCAATTTAGTGGCCCTGGTGACACTCGGGGACAATGGAAGGGGGCAGAGAGGTGGCTCTGGTGACACCTGGGGACATTGGGGGGGAGGTTTGGTGACACCTGGGGACATTGTGGGGGAGGTTTGGTGACACCTGGGGACATTGGGGGGGAGGTTTGGTGACACCTGGGGACATTGGGGGGAGGTTTGGTGGCACCTGGGGACATTGGGGGGAGGTTTGGTGACACCTGGGGACATTGGGGGGGAGGTTTGGTGACACCTGGGGACATTGGGGGGGAGGTTTGGTGACACCTGGGGACAT